CTCATTATCTTAAAGATGGCGAATGTAAAGTTAAGAATTGGCTGAAGCGCAATTATATCTAGATGTAATAAAAGTCATTAGAAGCGATCAGAAACGACCCCATACAGAGCAGAAACTCCACCAATTAATTAAACGGCGCTATTAATAGAAGCTATCTTGGTCGTACACGCGTTATAATGCATTCGTACTGTATAAAAGTTAGTGTAAAGAAAGATAGATGTTTTATAAAGGGAACTAACCGGTTGACTCATCGTTCTTTCAACCTAATTTTTATATATATATATACATATATATATATATATATATATACATATATATATATACATATATATATATATCCATACATATATAATCTAGTTTTTAATTATTCGTAATATTAACCGGGCAATTATTATTCGTTAATTAAGTGCAACATGATGATTTGCATCCTTGCATTCTACGTGGTCCATTCGATTTTTATAAGAGACGGAAATGCAAAAGAAAAAGAAAAAGAGAAAAAAATAGAGATAGAGAAAAAGATATAGAGAGTGAGTTGTTATTTTCTTTTCTCTCTTGCTCCGCTTTGAAGCAACGTCTCGCATCTTAATCTTCCTATACCGTGAGCAAGGATTCGCTCTTAATCGATCTCTCAGCTACTTCTAGTAGAAAGAGTCGTGATACGGTACGACTAACAGCGAAACGGTTTATTAGAATAAGAAAACATTAAATTGTACAGAACATTATGTACAATAGAAATTGGTAGCGACTAATACAAACTAGTATCTAACGAGTCTCATTTCAGAATCAGTAAGAAATTTCGCGGATAAACATGTCTTAGGAAAAGGATTATACTTTCTGATAAAGTCGGAAACAGTTAGAACTTACTTTTAATGTAGAAAGGATTCAGCATGTGAAAGGATTATGATGTTTATTGTATCGAACACAGAATTCGATTTAATTGACCCTCGTTCTAGGTTCGTTGCAGTCGAAGACTCGTATGTACGTATATATGTACGTATATATGTACGTTCGTAAAAAAAAAATGAACTAATTAGGAAAATCGAGTCCACATGATTTTCCTATTTGGCGATAGTAGTTTCTAAGAAACTTCATTTTTTGTTTCTTTTTCTTCTCTTTAATGAACGATCCAAAGTGAGGATATTTTTGAAGAGTACATCGAACCGATCAAAGTCTAACTGGTTCCTTAACACTTGCCAGTTTAAAATTCTTCAAAAATGCCGTTAAATTTTTTAGTTTACCGTTATGAATAGGATCGTTATCTTTGAAATATCGAATATTTATATCAGATAATAGCTTCGTTAACGAATCATATTACATATACATTATATTATGATACATTTATATTCCACAGATAATATATCTTTCGAAATAAAATTCATACAACCAAAATGGAAATAAAGCCTAAAAGAAATTGTCACTAAAAACTATTTCCATCTTGAGAAGACGAAGAAGGTAAAACAATGTTGGCGTGGATGACAAGGGTCTCTTCTATCCTGTCAACTTTTTTTTGTTACGCTCTCACATCACAGGATTTCTAGGATCAAGAAGAATGCTTTCTTCAAGAGTAAACGTTGATGATGATTATAATAAAAAAAAAAAAAAAGAAAAATAATGATAATAATAATAATAATCATAATCATAACAAGAGCAACAACAACAATAATAATAATAATAGTAATAATGAAGAGGCGATGATGTGCCAGAAATAGGCTACGTGACTTCGTGTTAAAGAGCTAAGGCATTTCTGTAATCGTCGATAATTGGCGCGTAAGTAACGACCGACGGCTTTTTTTGTTGACTTTTACACGCGAGAAAACAAATGCGCGCGCTCCTTCGCTAGCGCATGCGTTCACGACTAAACAAGCATGTGCACTATTTACGATTCATTGTACGTCGATGAAATGACGGTTTGTCTCGTTAAGTCTATTCTATCATTGAAAATGAAAAAGATGAAAAGAGAAAAATTCATTACTGGTTACCTCTAAAGAAAGAAAATCCATGAATGCCATTTCCTTAAAGGAAACACGTCAAAGAAGTTTTAATCGCGCAGGTCCCTCGAGAAAATTCTGTCGAACGTAAAAGATAGACGCGCGTACTACCCGCAGCATTGTTACGTTTTTTCTCAAACGAACAAAGATCAGAATCAAGAAAACGATTCTTACAGTTCATAGCGATAATTTCTTTATAATACACGTATTCTTAATTTGCAAACAGTATTAATCACAATAATTTTATCGAATACTAACGGTAAGATTTTAATCTACATTTATCAAATTAATCATTCATGAGACAACAGAGCAAAGAACTTGTTTTTATCATATTCACCTATGTATCGCTAACGCTATTTCTCACCCGTTCCGTACTATTGTTATACATGTTAAAGCAAATTTTATAATATGAATTGTTTAAAATAGTAAGAGAGAAAGAGAAAGAGAGAAAGAGAGAGAGAGAAAGAGAAGGAGAGAGAAAAAGAGAAAGATAGAGAGAGAAAGAGAAGGACAGAAAAAGAAAGAGAGAGAGATAGAGAGAAAGAGAAGGAGAGAGAAAGAAAGAGAGAGAGAGAGAGAGAGAGAGAGAGAGAGAGAAAGAAAGAAAAGGAGAGAAAAAGAAAGAGAGAGAGAGAGAGAAAGAAAGAGAAGGAGAGAGAGAGAGAGAGAGAGAAAGAAAGAGAAGGAGAGAGAGAGACATCCTTATAATAGATTTAAAATAGAAAATGAATCATTATATGTCTCGTCATCCCACAACTTTACCTGGATATCTTTTGGACGATGACACCAACAGGTCTAATTTCTCCGGAGACGGAGCATGTCGTAGTGGATGACATAAAAGAAGCCAAAGAGAGTGAACTTTCACATGAAAAGTTTGCCTCGTTTCATGACTCCGAATTCGACCGATCGATCGATCATCGAATTTAACTCTAAGTAGTCACACGATGTCTCCGACCAAAAACGTCTCTTGCGATCGACCGTTCTTCGAGACGGTCGGAGGTTTACTGACACTGGCGCTTCCACCTGCTTGTAACGCCAGCCAAGTTTACCCGAGTTTATCCCCCGATGCGTTACACGCGCGCGCAAGTAAAGTGTTGACTACGAGAGAAGGGACACAAAATGTAAGAGCATTATACATAGTCGATAATCAACCGTTTTCTTGTCATCCTTATCCCCTCTATTCTTCTCTCTCTCTCTCTCTCTCTCTCTTTCTCTCTCTCTCTCTCTCTCTCTCTCTCTTCTCTCTCTCTCTTTCTCTCTCTCTCTCTTTCTCTCTCTTTTACTCTTGTATTAAGATGAATATAAAATAGATGTATATAGGATATACATCTGATGATACTTGGATGCTGGACCGACCTTCTCATGACGCAGCGAATGTTCACAGAGATCATTATCCTTGATAATCCACGTTCAGTTAAGAAGACAGCAATATCATTTCTTTTTCTTATATATCGTGTATAATGCTTACACCCCTTTCTTCACTATCTACTTTCTTTAACATTAGAAAATGAAAATCAATAAAGTATGCTTATGATAGATTTAAAGAAGTTTCTGCTTTTGTATTTATGATTAAATAAGCTAATTTACATTCTATAATATAAAAAAAATAACACTTATTGTTAGACATGGTCAACATTTTTATATTCACATTTTTATATTATTATATAGTTATTATATATAATTCATATAAATTTGAAAAGCATTTTGTATTTCTGGAAAGTAATATAAAATTATAAAAAATCGTTTTTCGTTTTTTTTTTTAATATTTGAAATTGTTTAAAAACAATTAGATAATACATTTTATGGGTATAACTTTGATGTAAACAAAATAATAATCACTGACAATTTCCACTCGATTAAATAATGTTCTACTACTACTAACAATATTTCCATTGATCAATAAAAATGAATTTTACTATTGCTAACAGTTATTTATTGAATGGAAAAAAATTGCCGTTTATTATTATCAATTTTTATAAAATTAACATTTTTACTCAATTATTAAAGCAGTAATATAAATAATTAATAGTGTACTTGATCAGTAAAAAATTTGATACTAACGTCCAACTATATTAGTAATTAAAATAGAAATCTACTATTACTGACTATTCTTCAATAAAGAATAGAACTACTATTACTGATCGGAAAGGAATCTACTATTACCGATTTATAATAGAGGACGGTAAAAGTTTGTTATTATCAACCGAGTAAAAATGTCATTAAAACAAGGATCTACTATTAGCAACAACAGGTATGTAAGCTGATAAAATAGGAATCTACTATTACTTAACGAGCATATAGATCGGTAAGTTGGGGATCTACTGTTACCAATAGTGTTAATATTACCAATAGTTCGCGAGATAGGAATCTAATATTCTTAGAGATTTAATCAGTCGGCTAAATAGTATTCTACTATTATCGGCCATTTTCAAAATCAGTCGTTATAATAGGAATTTACGATTATTGAAAATATTTTAATTCTCTATAAGTTGTGCAGAAATACCTGAAAAATATCATATTATATTAATGCTTATTTGTTTTATTTAATGATTCCATTATTGTAGCTAAAGAATTATGTATAATTCTTATAGCTACAATAATTCCTTTTTAAGTAAATTAACATTAGTATCTACACAGTTTTGATTATGTTCCTATAACTCTCTATTTTGCTTTTATTATCTATTAATGACGATGTTGTGTTCATTTAGATTATTTTAATTTGAATATAAGGAAATGTTTAGAAGTGTAAAACGTATGATATTTTTTCGATATTATCGATAAGCTACAATGTCGTATTAAATTATATTAAGATCTTGTAAACTGGAACGATTTATGCTTACTACATATATATAAAATCTGTATCATTTACCAATTATATTAATATGTAAACAACTTACCAATTGTATCTCAACCAGTATATAAAAATAATTTTTCTTACTTTATCTTGGCCGATATGTAGCACATTCTTATCAACGTTAAAACTAACCAAATATTGAATCGAAGAAATCTTACCTGTCGAATCCAAGGCTGTCCTGTCGATAAGCACAATCGTTGCAGCCGCTGCATCTTGACGACAGTTCTGTTTCTCGATCGATATCATCGCAATGACTTTGAGTCTTTCGATGATCAGCAACCATAGACCAAGTACGATGAATGAGATATAATAAATAGAGCGGTTTATTGCGTCGACAAGGTTGCGATCTTGAATTTCCCATTATATTTAAACTTATTTGATACCTTGTTTAATAACTTTTTTATCTTCCCTCAAGGAATCATGTAATAAACGGTATCATATATTTCGTTCGTTGAATCCGCACATTTGTAATTTCAATTTTAATTGAATAAAAAACTATATCATTCCCTTTACACATAACATACTACACCATGGAAGATTTTACTATTCTACTAACACGACAGCATGACTCGATCACTGGAGGTCGTGGGATCTTGGGATTACAGAATAGTATGACTGCAATAGCACTGACCTTGAAACGTGCTCTTTTGTTTGGTATACGTAACACTTTCCAATGTAATCACGTAGCAATCATTTTTTAATGTTTGTAACACCGATCATTTAATATAACTGTTCTTTTATATTCAATTTTCTTTTCTTCGAAACACATAATCTATATTTTAGCACGTTATGTATATTATTAAAGAAACAACACATGTTTTTACAAAACAAATTTTCTTGGAAGAAAAAAGAATTATTATGTATATGTGTATGTGTTCGTATGTATATATGTGTGTGACAACGTTCGTTCACACGTTTTCCTCATGTCCTTTTCGACGAGGTTATCGTAATTCTTGTCTTACATTGTTCTTCTCCTGCAATAGTGTTTACACTTGCGTAATTACAGGTCGAGGCAACGACTCGAAAGTAGCATTTACGGAACGGCGAGTGCTGCACTTCCTCAAGCAGCGAAAGGACTAAAGTCGCGCTTTTATGAACCGAGTTTATTAAGATATTGCGCATAGGACGTCCATAAATTATTCTCACGATTCGTACGTGGGAACGTTATACGTTCATATAATTTCATAGTTTCATCGTGAGGCCCATTCGTGAACACTCCCCAAAGCCATACGACTTTCTTGCTCATCATTATTCACAAAGAAAGGAATCATGATAATATCAAGGTTCTTCTGGTTTCCAATTTTGCAAAAAAATTTCAAAAAGATCAAATATCGAATCTTTCTTTAACCAATCAATGTTTCGTAATCAATTTATCTTATCGTAATTGAAATTAGAATTTCTCGGGGAATGTGGACTCGTCCGTGGAATTTCTCGGCTTTCACGGCGAGGCACTTCCTACGTATTCCACTCTCTAATTCAAGCCCATCCTACGGGTTTACGAAGACATAAAGCATCGTGCGATCCGTCTTGTCGTTCGTCCGTGAAAACGAGCAAAAATCGAATCAACGTTTCCTGTAATTTAATTTTACATATCAGGATGCACCGTAATTTTCTTTTATAAAACGCACGTTTTCTTTTTCAACTTATTTCGAAAGTTTCCAATGCTTTTTCCGCGATTACGGTATTTTCTTTCCTAAGATGACAAACACCCGCACTTTTATTTCTTGTTCGATAGACGTCTTTCTGTAGAACCGGTGGCAACATACATTCAATTTTCTTCCTTTCTCCGTCGTCGTGAACGAATTTACACGTCGTTATTATACACTTTAGAAAAAATCTCCGTTAATGTCGTTAGACGCGAAAATATGTCTTCGTTCTCTTCGTTGTCGTTTTCGTCGTCTTCGTCGTCGTCTAACAAACGGATTCCCATACTTTGTGCAGCAAGTATGACGACGCTCGCTTCTTTCAAGCGGTCCTACATCCTGTCGCGCGCGCGTCAGACACAACGCGAGGTAATCTTCGTCTACTTCTTCTTCTTTTTTTACTTCTTCTTCTTATTCTTCTCCTTCTTATTATCTTTCTTTAACCATAGATTCTCGTGCTTACTTTACGTAAGTTACTACTTGTATACTATAGTTCATTTTGAATAGCCTACATCCTAACACTATATAATATACATATCGATATATGTTACTTATCTTCCTTTACTCTTTTTTATTTTTCTACTTTCACGTTATGACCATCGGAGAATGGAAAATGGAATAGTTAAAATCGTTAAGGATATACTTAGATTACCGAGCGCGATCATTAATCTTTCTCAGCGATCAATCGGAAATACATTGAACGGAAATGAAAATAATGAACTTAAAACATGCCGGTAATTTCGATCATTATTTCGTGCTCGAGTCGTCTACTCGTAAATATATATTTATTAATATAATAAAGATCGTTATTATGAGAACTCCAAGGTTGATTAGCGTATTTGTTTTATTAAAAGATAATTCCCAAATGGATTAGAAATGGATCGGCTTTCTCGATGGAATGACAATCAAAATAGAGGACAATAACCTTGATGTTAGACAATCGACAAACGAAATTAAAGACACGGTTAGCAGAGAAATTGCCTCACATTATGTTGCGGTGGCTGCATAGGCCGCGAAACCACATCGAACGTTGTAGCCGTGAAAATAATAAATTATTCCTTCCAGGAAAGCCCACTGATCTACTGACACGCGAAAAATTCTTCAAACCGTTATATATTACGCATCAAGAACGTTTGTAAGAGTGGCTAAAGTTATTTTTCCATAAACTTATCAAATTGGATAAAAATAATGCCGACGATACACCAATACGTTCTAATTTGTTAAACATCCAACGAAAATGATAAGTAAATATAAGATTAACGTATAAAATATCAATTGCCAATATTAATGAACTCGAGATATGAATTAAAACTGTAGTTTCGAATTAATACATTATAATAATAATTAACGATAATTACAACTTGATAACTCAAGGAGAAATGTTTACGTTTACATAGGCTATGATTTTTTCGACTACACTACGCTTTCTCACGGTTAATGACTTACGCTAACAACTACATAATCGTAGAAGAAAGCTTTGAAAAAGACACTTTAATTCGATGTTAACATCTATATGATTTCTAAGAAGCTGCAAGCTAATATAAATCTACTTGATTATACATTAATCACTTTTTATACTATCTCCTTTTATAGCATCGCAATAAATCCCAAGATATTCATAAAAAGAAAAGAAAAAAAAAAGAAAAAGTAAAAAGTAGTAATTACAAGAAATCGTAAAACTTTATTATAAGGTAATTTTAACGAGGGCCTCATTAATTCCATCGATGAAGCGTCATACCGACCGGTGAATATGCTTTCTTCCCACGTAAGACGAATGGCTAGGCAAATCCTTGAGGTAAATCAGAAGCCGATCCACTTCGCACGTTCTCACTCTCGCGAGAATTAACTCGCTTATCTTCTCACTCGAAAATGTTGGTAAAAAAAAAAAAAATAAAAAAATGAAAAATTTTTACTTATTAAAAAAATTTTTAACGATATATCAACATCAAAATGAAGCAATAACAAAAATAAAAACACGAACAGTTAATCTCTAAATATTATCTTTGTCACACCTCATGAGAATCTCGTATAATAAATGTTGAAAGGTAAACATCTTTGATATCTCTTTCTTTCTCTCTCTCTCTCTCTCTCTCTCTCTCTCTTTTTCTTCCTCTCTCTTTCTTTCTTACTGACAATTCATCCTTTATCCCATCTCATTCTCTAAGAAGGCACTTGGCTCGATCGTGGAGCCGGTATTTTCTCGCCTCGAAAGGACAGATCTTTGAAGAGTCTCTAGAGATCAGATTTGACCTTTTGAGCCCGTCGAAAAGTCACGCGAAAGAGGAGTAGCTCTCTTCGAATAGGAGAGGCTCTCTTGAGGCATTCACCGTGCGAGTTTCAAGAGCCGACTGTCGAGCCGCAAATGCCCGAAGGTGCACGTGCACACACCGTTGCCTCTCGTCGTCGCCTTCTCTCTTTCTTTCTCTTTCTGCTCTTTGCTTCTCTCTTATTCGCCAAAGCCGCGAAGAATGCTTTTTCTTCATCTTCTTCATCTTCTTCTCCTTCTTCTCCTCCTTCTTCATTTTCTTCATCTTCTTCTCCTTCTTCTCCTCCTTCTTCTTCTTCATCTTCTTCATCTTCTTCATCTTCTTCTTCTTCTCCTTCTTCTCCTTCTTCTCCTTCTTCTCCTCCTTCTTCTTCTTCTTCTTCTTCTCCTTCTTCTTCTTCTTTTAACTGGTCGTCTCTCGTCGTTCACCACCTTTCAAGCAACAGCGAAAAGAGCTAAACTCTCGATTCGAATCGAGATCTTAACCTTACGATTTTGTGTTTTATTGACGATCCGTGCGTGAACCAGATTTTACTAGGTCATCTTCGCCCAGGGACTCAAAACCGGCTAAATTCTTTATCTTGGATATTTTTTTATGAAGTTACTCTTTAATATTTTTCTCTGTCCTTTTGATTCTTTTATATCTCTTTTTCGATACTATGTGACCATGTGATTGAACGTTATCATATATAGTTGATATTGTTTAATAAATTTTTTTTACTAATTTTCCAATTTTAGTTATTGTTACGTCGAATAACATGTTTGATATAATTTAACCGATGTAATATTATATAACATAGAAACTTACGTGGTACATTAAACAAATGGCACGATGCCGATAGTGAACAATTTGAAACGGGATCATAACTCATTATTGAAATTATACATATCATACTATTGTTAGTCGTTAGCGAACGTTATAACTTCGAAGATGTTCTATGGAGCAAATATTTTTATGAATTTACGTTAGAATGTATAATCTTTGTATGTGTATATGTATACCTTAATATCTCTGTGACTATAGTTCGAGTATTTCGCGAAAGTTAGTGAGGTTTGCTAATGAGATACAATCAAGTACCGCTTGAAGAAAGATATCAGTCACGAATATAACTTTCGAGAAATTTGAACTCTATTTAATGACGTTTAACGAACTAAGAATGTCAGATAAGAAATTTTCTAGATCGTTGCAAGTTACTTTCATTAGCGATCGCATTTCTCATAGCTCTTACAATATCGGGTCTATAATCAATAAAAATTCTAAGACATTTGAAGAGAAAGATCGATGGTTAACTTCTGTAATCGACTATACAGTTACAACAGCTCTATCAAGATACCAGAGACGTCTCGATTAATCGTGATAGATTATCTTCGACCGATCAAGAGCAAAGAAGATTATTAGTTTCCTAGGTGCGATTTGGTTCAAATGATAAGTTAGGTTGTTCCCTCCTTTTATCTCTCTTTATAGGCTATATATTTAAAGTTTTAAAGCATTTTACGTGCAAATTTGCGAACAAATCGAGCGTGGGTCACGTTTTACGCTGGTTAAACCAAGTCTCTAAGCAGATACTAATGGTCAATGTAAATCTTAGATGAGGATGGCTTCGGGTTTTACAAGCTGACGGTTTTTTGCAATAAGTTGAGTCAACTAGTCGTGGAAAACCGAAGGACCGAAGTCTCGTCTCGTCTATCTTTATCTTTCCCTCTTATTCTCACAGAACGTTCGGATTAAAGCTCACGACTAGCTATAGTATGTACTAAGAGAAACGTGGAATCTTCTCCAAGGTACTTATGTGTGTGTGCGTGTGCGTGTATGCGAATGCGCGCGTGTATCTGAGACCCTAGGAAAACTCCTACGATCCAGAGACGATTAGGCTTACGGCTGACCTGAGATAAGCGTTCACACTCGTGTATCATTCTGTAAGAACTAACGTAACTTCCGGGTGTCTGCGAGATCTTCAGAGAACAAGGAAGTGCCGTAGAGGAGGATATGCTAATGAGCGATAAGACCAGTTTTCTAACAATTCTAGCGTCACGCCTTGGATTCGAAACATCATTCAGAATTTCGATCGAATTTTAGACGTTTCGAGATCGTGTCGACTAAATGACTAAAAGATGTCACGAGATATCTCCGACTTTGTAATACTTTTAAAGCGTTTACTATACAGAATGAAATAGATAACTATTCCCAAGTGAAAGAACTTTCTATTTTCTATTTACAGAACGTGTTGGGTTTGAAATTATTCAGATGAAACGGTTTATCTGATTTTTGTGAAATTAACTCCTAAATCATTCGTGTGAACTGATCACTAATATTGGATATAACAATTTAGATTTTATATATATATATATATATATATATATATATATTATATCTAGTATATATCTATTATAAATACATAAAAACAAATCTTTTCTTTATTTATCAATAGAAAATTATGAACCAATCGGTAGTATCCCACACTCATGGTAATTAATTTGTAAAATTTACTAATACCAGTAATCATTTTATGTGATAAAACAGATGTTTGTCAAAGGTGACCATAATGGCATTTAGCGTATTAATGTGAAATCGTTTAATATTTCTAGAGACAGTAATGTCATTATCAATTTGTCAATCGTAAGAAAATAAATGTAGACACAGAATGGCTACGACATTGCAACTTTCTCAGTGAGTTGACCAATTGTAATTTAACTCATATGAAGAAAACTTAAAGGGAAACGTGAGCAGAGTGCGGAATACAGTGCAGAGCTTCCTGATGATTGCGCTCGCAGGAGCTAGAATGCATCTATGTAACTGAAGCAACTCTAGTGGGTCAGATTCACGCTTGACCTGCCTTGAACGGATACTTGTAACCATGTATCAAGCGCCCAAGAGCACCGTTCCTTCCGGATGCTTGTGCAATGTCAGGAACAGGAAAGTAAAAGATATGATAATTACTTAGGCCCGTCGAAACAAATCGTCGTCGCGTCGAGAACTCACCGAAGCGTGCTAAAACGAGCGAAGCAAACCAAATCCATTTCCGAATCAAGAGAATACGCAACAGATCGCTGATATTATGTCATTCCACGGTGAAACGGTGAGCCGAAGATATAGATAGTTGGATTATTGGATAATTAAAGCGTAATGCTAACGAGATTTATGTAACGAGTCGGAACTTCACAAGAAATCTTTCATTAAATAATGCTTTTTGTTTCTTTTGAGAGGAATATTAGTGAATATCCATGATTGATTTTCTTAAAAAATTTATCATTAATTCGAGCGAAGTTTTATCGAAACCATTTTATTACAATATATTTCTTTCTTAGAAGGAACAAAATAATTATACGATACATGTTGAAAATCTTATAAAAATATTTACTTTATATATTTTGTTAAAATATTTTATTAAATAATGTTTTGTTAAAATATATATATATATATATATATACAAAATATATATACAAAACCCTTAATCTCAATCACAGTTTAAGATTTCCTATTATTAAAATGGTAAAAATCGAAAGTTTGTTACTGGCAAAGTTTTTTATAATAAACTCATCAAAGAAATATCCCTTAATAATGGATAAGAGGGGTGAACATGTAGAAGCGAGGTTAAAATTCTTTGGGAAAATTGCACGACTAACGATACTCGTGCGACTCACGGTTTTGCATCGCGATAACCTCGCGCATCATACATGAGATTGTGGTCTCGGATTGCGTAAAGGTACTTACACCTACCAGAGAAGGAGAAATCATCTACACGCGTCGACACGTGTTCTATGTTTCCACACCTATCTCTTCGAGTTATTCTATATTAATACATAGATATGTATATAAATTGTACAGTTGTTTTTCGTTTAAACCAGGGATTATTGGCGCTTCGTAATATCAATTGAAATTGCATTGAAAGATGTTGAAGCTTCGTGATAAAATATTTACTTTCTCGGTGATTATGATTAAAGTGATTTCGATTGAGAAAAGTGTATAAATTCATTTTCACATCGATATGCGTATGTACAGTTTATGATGCGATAACTTGTTGAATGGAAAATTATTGAATTTGCATATGAAAGAGAAGATCTAAATTTTTGCTAGATGTTTATTTTAATTTCTTCTTTTTTCATGTTTCATAAGTATGATAAAGGTCAGTGAACTTTTGTTATCTACCTGTGGTTTCTAACGATTAGATCGTTTTTTCAAGGAAACGTGGAAACGTTAGAAGTAGAACACTTGTCCGCCGTCTTTCGCCGAAGGCGACTAATTAGTCGAGGTAAGGAAAAAGTTGACACGACGGGATCCGAATAAAGTGGGACAATGTCATTGGTATATACGCACACCCGATATCAAAGGACGCGTCGTTTGACCCCCATAAACACTTTTATCCATTAACTTAACGCTCATCATTCGAGAGCGATGCGAATGGACGATTGTGCACCACCATGAATAATTTATTCTCTCGTCAATACGTAACTTCGATTCTGAATGGAGATGCATTATGCATATAGCAGAACGTTCGGAGTCCGGTTTGGCCGGACGGGAGTGATCGAAAGAGAACCATGTTGGAATCGAGGAAAATAACGGTCGCATAAGCCATTAAGAATAATTACGCTTTGCGTTTTTTATCTTCTACATTCTTTCTGAATCTATTAATCAATTTGAATGTATCCTCTTTCTTGAGAATCTGCCCACCCAACATGTCCCAACTTAATATCATAAGAATTAAGCAAAATAATTGAGCTCGTCGTTATTCCTAAGTCTTTAGGAATATCAAAGATATAAAAATAACTGGTCATGCCGTGGGAGTGCATAACTTATTAGTCAATTTAACGGTCGATGTCAAACGTGACTACATATCGAGGACTCGAGAGATTAGGGATTAAACGGAAGATAAAAAGATATGGACGAAAAGATTTAAAAAAATATAAAAAAAAATAAAAAAAAATAAAAAAAGAAATGGAAGAAAGAAAAAAGTAGAAAGAAGAAGGAAGACTCGAGCAACGGTACCATTCGATTTAAAACCAAAACTCAATGAAAATCTGATGGCAGAAAAGTCGATCATTTCCTATCTTTTTCTTCCGTTAACAGAAGCTAAGGTCAGGGCTTGTAGTACATACATAGATACGTGTGTACTAGAACCGTATGGATATCGATTCGGAGCAGGTGATACGAGTTTCTTCTTCCTGTGTTCTATCTACGTGTGTTGCTTGCAGCCTACCGACAACCGCAATTACGGTGCTCTACAGTTAAGGTCACTAAAAAAGGCTGTCGGGATCTCGGGTCTCGTCGGTCCAGTTTCTAAGCGTTAGATCACTAACGCGAATGCATCTCACGTCCTTTCTACACGAGAAAAAGAAAAAGATGGTTGAAGAAGAAGAAGAAGAAGAAGAAGAAGTAGAAGAAGAAGAAGATGATGGAGGAAGAGGGAGAGGAAAAGACGCGTCTGCAACTCGTTCTTTCTTCCTCTTCTTCTTTCTCGCTCACGGCTGCGTGCCTACGCCCAGTAAGGCTGAGTCCTTACACACAGTATCGCATACCGTTATATTATTTATACCGAAGGCATATATTTTGCCTATGCGAAAGCCCTCCCCCCTCCCCCCTGCGCCTCCCCCTCCCCCTTCCTCCTCCTCCTCCTTCTCCTCCTCCTCCTCCTCCTTTTCTCCATCTTCTTTTGCACACGAGAGAACTCGCCTTAACCTCGATTCATTATGGAGCTTGACTCTAAGACTTTCCAAAAGGATTACATTCTCTCCGATCGATGACATAATGATGAGAGATAATCTATTGCCTCTTCTATTTGTTCAAGCAATTTCTCTTCGTCATACGATCGAAAGTCGGAGAAAAACGAACGATCGTTTTTCCTTCGAGTATCAAAACATTTAGATTAATTTTGACAAACAATTTAACAAATGTGATATAACAATAATGATAAATGGATATTTCTAAAGTTATATTGGAGTGGAAATATAAATTATTTTAATATTTAAAAAAAGATTAACACTCATTAAAGAGAGAGATACTTTTATGATACCTACATCAAATATCAGTCGCGATAATAAAACTACAACTAACGATAAATATTATCAGGTTTAATTTGTTTATCTCGATCAATGGTTCATACTGTCTTTCGATCCGGTTTCGAATGTAGCAATGGAAAGATATTTTTCAAGTAACGCGAGTAGTAATATACAGTTAAAAATTGACGTCGTAAATTATTGTAACGTGCGAAAAATAAATTTCTAATAATGAGATTGTGACAGGGTCATGAAAGCATTAGACTCGCTTTTACGTATCTCTACGTTCGTTCAGGTTTCTTTACGAGCTTGCCGCGCCTCGTTAAAAAGCCCTTTGTCGCGCGCCACCGACGTTTAATTACAGCGATCTGTTTTATCAACGTGTTCTCGTACTACGTACCACGTTCTCGTGCACGTGATTTTTTCCTTTCTCGCGTCGATGCTCGATAATTGCAATTTCCGTTTAATGACGTCCTCATTCGTACACGGTAATAGGAAATCTAAGCGATTGCTGTCGTGTCAAGTTTCAAGATATAAATAATAAAAGGACTAATATAATAAATATATCTTATTCGATTCGCACTTCGAGAAATATTAGAGATAGAACATTGCAATAAATGATGTTTAAAAATTTTGGTAACAAAAAACGAAGGCTATATAAAATTATTATTATACATTTAATATAAAATCCAAATGGAAAATCATTGAATAGTTTCGTTAAGCTGGAGTATTAATTAATCTGGAGTATTAAATCCTACTAATTAATTGAGATCATAATTATCATAATGAAAAATAACACATATGTATTTGTTGTATATACAAAAAGTATACAAAAAAAATTAACTAAATGGTCTGTCTAAATAAATGATCATTCTGTTGAATGTATATATATATATAACTAATTTATAATTAAGAAATTTCCATTCTTTGTTTATTGTGTAATGAATAATTTGTTATTATTGGATAATTATATTAATAATACGTATGTTTGCATGGAGTTTAATTATTCGTTTTTTTATATATTACTTGAACAAAAGTTTTCCGTAAAAATGCCAATGTAGTGTATCGAATAGTCGATAGATGGCACTATGAACGTTGCGTTAAGGCGACTTTTATCACACGCAAGCTAATTGGACAAAACTAGAAATTGTCCACAACGTATATAAAGCTCATTGCCAATGCGAATCTTTATCTAACTTGGATATGGTTAATGGCACCACATGATCTGATCATTTATAGTTTTTCCAGAGTTTATTACGGTTCCAATATTATTCGATTTCATAATAATGTTGTTAAGTAATTGTGAATCAATCTTAATAAAGAAAATTCGCGCTGTTGTCAGTTTTTAGTTGACGACTTGTATATGACTAAGATGGCGTCAGCGGAACAAGTAGGTCTTAACAAAACTTGGGAATTATCGCTTTATGAATTACATCGAACACCTCAAGATGCTATTACCGACAATACAGAAATCGCGGTTAGTCCACGAAGTTTACACAGCGAACTTATGTGCCCAATTTGTTTGGATATGCTTAAAAAAACCATGACCACCAAGGAGTGCCTCCACCGTTTCTGTTCCGATTGTATCATCACCGCACTTCGAAGCGGTAATAAGGTATATATTTACATTTTCATCTTCCTTATGACCTTCTTTCTGTTTTTGTTTATTTTATAGTCATTTTATTTGTTTGGGTACTTTTTATGTCTATGTAAGGTTTAGCTGTGTCCTAATCTCTGAATGTCAAAGATTTATGTAAACAGAGTATTGTTAGATTAAGAAACTTCGTTACATTAACATCGCTATTAATTCTATGTAGAGAGCACAATGTTATAATTTGAAGAATATTTGAATTTACCTATTTGGGAAACGTTTAACATAACTTGTTGAGAAAACTTGTATTATTCTATTCTTTTTTATTTTTTAGTTTTAGATATAGACTGTATCCATGGCTTATTATGGAGATGGGGTATGTTAACTGTATTTACATTGTTTATTTGTAGGAATGTCCAACTTGTAGAAAAAAGTTAGTTTCTAAACGTTCTTTGAGACCAGATCCAAACTTTGATCTATTAATTTCAAAGATATACCCAAGCAGAGATGAATACGAAGCGCATCAAGAAAGAGTTTTGGCAAAATTAAATAAATCACATTCCCAGGCTGCCTTAGTAAATTCTATTACCGAAGGTATCAAACTACAAAGCCAGAATCGTCCACAACGTTCCAGAAAGAATGCTAATGAATCTGAAAATACAAGTAATGCAACTTCGTACAATAATACTCCAAATGTTAGTGCTCCTACAACGCCAAATCCTTCTACAAATGCTGCAAATCAAAGTGATTCTTCGCAAAGTGCAACGGGGCCATTAACTACTAATAACGGAGGAGCTAGTAATAGTTCACAGAATTCTACAAATATTTCTCAACCTGCAAGTAGTCCTGCGGTTTCCGGTAATTTACATTATTTCATTTATTATCACATAAACAGGATATATATGTATAAAGTACATTGTATAAAATGAATATCCAAAATTTTTAGGAACTACATCTAGAAATTCTACAACACCTTCGCCAAATCCCACAAATCAAATACCAAAACCACCAAAGCGACAAAAAAGTCTTCAGAATTCAGAAAATGATTCTTCTAGTGCAGAAGCAGAAACAGGAGGTGGTGATTCTATGGTCGATACAGAAGGCGAGGGTCCTAGTGAACCTTTGATGCTTAATGAAATCGAACTAGTTTTCAAACCCCATCCAACAGAAATGGCTGGAGACAATTCATTAATAAAAGCATTAAAAGAGAATAGTATTCGATATATAAAAACTACGGCAAATGCAACAGGTAACCATATAAGAAAACCATTTAAATCATCTTTAACTATTTATTTTCGCAAGATAATGACCATTTAATTTATTTACAGTGGACCATCTCAGTAAATATTTAGCTATGCGATTAACTTTGGATCTTGACACGGAATTATCAGAATCGGATAGGTTATTGAATTTTTGTATTTATATAGCACCTTCTCCAGGACAACTCGTGGTATTGAGTGGATCACAAACATTACGACAAGTGAATGACAAATTCTGGCGAGTCAATAGACCATTGGAAATGTACTATTCATGGAAAAAAACCTAGGGAAGGCCTCGAAAATATCAATCAGATGGGAGCTAGTTGTATTATGCTCCGAATCAAAATTAAAATCTAGATATTTGTGGAGTCACGTAGGGGCTGTTGTGAAAGGAAAAACCTGATGTGTTTTATTATATTCTAACAGCTTTGATACGTCTTAAGAGAAGGTAGAACACGAAGAGGTTCTTCGTGTTTTTTGACAGTAGTGCAATTTTTACGATCTTTTCAAATGGTTGCCAATGTTTATGCGATTCGAGTTTTTGTACGAGAGATTGTTATGGCAACGTATTTTTAAGTGATAGAATTAAATTAGGAACATGACATACGTCAACGATAGCTGATTAAAATAGGAAAGGATAAAAATGCATCTTTAATCCGTGATCATTGTTTTATATTCTTGCAAGTAATACCTACCCGATCTTATTGAAGAAATAACAGTTAGATCGGTGCACACATCACATACATTTCCATACTCGAACAAAGTCAATGGTTAATTAACTTATTTAATAATCGATGAACGAATTGTTGTGGACCATTCTGTACAGTTTTGTGAAAAAAAGCAAAAAATAAATGAATGTATATAAGTGAGATGATTCAAAATTATTAAGTTATCACCATTCATTCTGTAAGTTTATCCTATTTTTCGTTACTTTTCGTAACATTATACCACTGTATAATGTTACTGAATCACAAAAAAACCTATTTTAAGATAAGTTCCCTAAAGAACATTATCTTATCCTTTTTAGAATAATATATATACGTAGGGGAATGTGAGTGCTTAGCTAGTCTACTCCAACGCGTTCGAGCTTATATTTTCCCCGAGTCAGACGTGATAATCGAAAATCACATTTCCGGTCTTGTTAAAGATACATAGAAACCGTCTTTGCCGTGGAAAGGCAGAGTAATCGATAAGAGAACCCTACGACGCACCCCTGCGTTTGCCGCTGAAGCGAAAACAATGCGGATACTACGGCCTTTGATAGCGTGCCACCCTTCTTCAGTTAACGACAAACCAGATTCTGAATTTCGCTTCTCTACCTAATGAGAAAACGACGGAATAATATCGAACACTGTTGGAGAAACACAACGGGGTATTTTAATAATCAATCTCGTAAGAAAAATTCATAACAATTTTGTGGGAACATTTCATGTTCTTAGCTTTCTTTAATTTTTATATTCGATTATCGTTAGCTTCTTAAAAATTATCGAAATTAATGGAACAGAATTTATATTGTTCCTCTTTATAATAAGATCATTCCCCACAATACGAGTTATAGATTATCTACGTTTATTTATTTAATAGCCTTTTTTCATTAATTCGCTAAAACTATAACGTACAATTTTTACTGTTTTTTATCCTATAAGATAGGATCGTACAAGTTGCACTGTAGGATATTTGAGATCATCTATTATCTCTTTCGGAGTAATATTTTTCTGTTTATCCTACGATAATACGCTTTAAATCATACCCACTGACGGAAGTGTTATATATTATAAATTTCCGGTTGTATTTTAAGTGTGTTCTTTGTATAAACTATTCACAATCGGCTCGACTTTCATATTCCTATATAGTATTTTTATTTTTAAATTAATTATAGAATGCACTGATATAGCCGCCCTGATGAGCCAACGTCTAATTACTGGATATAAACTAAAGTAATACCGCTGTGTAATGACTTTTTCTAATTAGTGCTTTAAATGTATACTAAGATTAATAAGATCTTACTGTGCTCGTCCTAGAAACAATAATTAATATTCTTAATGCGAAGATTAATTTCACTTAAGACTTATAAAAAAGTAGGTTTAATAGGAAAATCCATTTGAAAATATCATTTATTTAAATTATTCTTTTTCCTTTTTATTAGTTTTTCACTTTTTTTAAATAAAATGTTTTCTAGAATTTGTTAGAAGAATAATTTTTTTCGAGATGTTGAATTAGGACAATTGGTCGGGCCAATTAGTTTTACATCGAATTACACGAACGAAACAATGAACGTTTCGATAGTTTATCATCTGCTCACGATATTTAAATTGCAATTTTAAATAAAAAGTTAAAGACGTGATGCGAAAATAAATTATCTCGTTAAATGTTATTTATTATAACGTGATTTATGATTGAATGAATATTTTACATTTAAAATAATTCAGAATTGCATCATCGAATGGAAAGTGCAGTATCGGTGGTTTCGTAATCTTCCTTCTCTTCCTCTTCATCTGGTAATATTGTTGAATGTTCTTCGTCATCATTTTCATCATACGGAATTGAACTTTCAATGGAGCTCTCGTCGGTAGACGATAAATGATCGGAAGATCGATTCGTTAAAGATTCATCTGTACTTCTCTTATCATCTTCGATTTCCTCTAGATTTACATTGTCCTCTTCATCATCGGACGTCGAAGGTTCTTCGACGAAATTTGTTGATCTTACCTTTGAATTTATATTCAGGTTACCATATTTTTCTTTAAGAAGTTTATACTCTTTTTTTGCAGTGATTCTAAAAAAAAAGAAAAAGAAAAATAACAAATATTGGTTCTAAAATCATGTAAATCTTCTAATGAGTATCTGTGTCATAGGGAATACAAACATCTATATTTCATCGAAGATTGATTGAAAGAGTATAAGGTATACACACGCATAAAAAGAAATGGTGGAAGAAAAGAAAATCGATGCTTTTAATATTAAAGATTCTATTACAGTACTCTCTCTCTTTCTCTCTCTCTATCTCTCTCTCTCTCTCTCTCTCTCTCTCTCTCTCTCTATCTCTATCTCTCTCATTGCTCTGATTTCTTAGTTAACGCAGGGAGAGAAGAGCATACTATAAGATAAAGTAGGGTCAAGACCGCTTTGATTATACTCACGGCATTTTGTAAGGGTCCTTGTACCAAAGCGGATATCCCGTGGGGTTTTGTCTTCCATCGGGGATAGAATTTTCGGATGGTAGTGGGTTCACTCGGAAATTCGCTGGCTCAACCGTTTCTTCCAAAAGGGCCGAAACTTGTCGTGCGTATTCCTCAGTACCAGCTGACCTTTCTAATCTATTAAATAATGAAATATAATAAGGCATTATGCTATCTTTTCTTATGTTTTTTTTTTTTATGAAGATCATATCAATGTTATTCGTATGTTTAATTTCATTATTTTATCATTTTATTATATAGATGTATATAATAATAGATTTTAATAACGTAATATTGTATCTACTAACTTGTGAACCATTTGCCTCGTAAATTCTGATTTTGTCGGTGTTTTTAAATCAATATTTTTCACATTATGATCTGCATTATTACTTTTTTCAATCGCATTTTCTTGAAGTCCATAAAAATTCCCGAAATGCACGGCTGCATCTCGTGGGATTTTTAAAGGGGATAACTTTTGAGTGTTAGATTTCGCATTTCCTGTTAATGTCATTCTTTTCGGAGGACTAGATATCGTCGGTTTCTTTAAATTCCTTAAACGATAAAATTATTGGATTAATTTTAACAATACATTCGACGTCTTGATATTTTTTTAATAATTAATTTGTTGAATGCGTAATGTTTTTGATTTGATTATCCTATTTATTATTCTTCACACGTAACATTACGAAATCAATATGTTACTATTATTTATCGTTATTATCAAAGTACGTAAGCATAAGTTTTTTGAGAAAAGCATAAGTAACTTGAGAAAAAAGTGATGTTCATATTCTATAGAAAACGTTAAAATACTACTAGATGATTTCTAATATTACGATGCAGCGAAGTATGTATACATAAAAACCTCGTTTTATAGCTGAAAATAATATACGAATGAAATTTTAATCTGGAAAAAATAAAAGAACATGTGTCTTTTACGATTTAAGTGGATATTGTAAAATGGTAGGACTGATAAATAAACCGTTGTCTGTATGTTGAAGTATTTACACGACACTCTGACGTTTAGTTAATGACCTGTCTCTTGGAAAGTCAACGAGAGCCAACGACTTTACCGTGAATAGTAATAGCATCGTATTACTCGAGCTTGGTCTCTTCTACATGATATTATATATATAAACTGACGCCTGCTACTTAGCGATGTTATTTAATTAAAAATAAAAAAAATTAAAGGAAGAGAGAAAATGAAAAAAAGCAACTTCGTTATGATCTTAAAAAATGATAAAATGGTCATTACTTTTCGCTTTTATTTAGAATGGGAAACGTTCCAGAAGTTTTCAGACTCTCGGACTTGAGAGATTTTTTACTGATACTTCGAGCAACTTTCGTTACAGATTTTATTTCAACTTTCTTCATAGTTTTCCGTGCAATTTTATTTCCATTGCTTTCTTTTGATTTACGTTCCATCGTCGATTGAATTACTTGACAATTTATTTTCTATTTATTCTTATGTTTTTAAGATGATATACAACATTCTTTCATATAAATCGATTTTACTCTTAGAATATTTTTTGAATGATTTCAGACTGACTTCAGACAAATAAGAAAAATCATCGATATAACGAATGAAGTTGGTTCCCTAAAATGAAAATGACAAACCGCGAGCGTTTTAACGAAATTAATCGGTTAGAGGGCATATGATCACAACCATTTTAACGAAATTACATTGGTAAAGATGGGATACTCGTTCTCATCCTTTTTTCTCCTACACATATTTTCGCACGATTTTTACTGCCAACCTTTCGCGTATCCCTTTGGCTTTTTATAAATCAAAAAAGATTTTTATCACCATAGTTTACTTCGAATCAAATATTTTTTTTTTATAACAACTTTACAAAATTATCCTTTGTATTTTATTATGCAATTAATATTTCGGGAAATCATATATATACACACACACACACACATTAATATGTATATATATATATATATATATATATATATATGTATATATATTTAATGAATATTTTTGCATTTATTTGAACTATATATATAATTTTATTGCATTCTTATCTACTTTTATACGTAGATTCTTTTTTTCCGTTAAGAAGAAAGAAAAAGAAGATGAGAGAGAGAAAGAGAGAGAGAGAGAGGAAACGTTGCTGCGAAGAGTTTAGCAAGAGAAATACGAATACGAGAGGAAGGATATAGTAGGTGCATTTTTATTTACGATCGAAGACGGCTTAGTCGCCGGCGGCGGCTCGGAACCATGCACCATCTCAACAAAAGCGAATAAAACGTATCGTCTTTTTTCTCGTGCCCGATATGCAAATGTATGAATTCCTTCTCGTACGTGTACGTGTGCTATGAAAAATATAATACTGGCCCACGAAATGGACTTGCAAAATTATTTATCACCCGCTGTGTTGAGGGATAAGAAAAATTTTTATTCACCTTGCTGGCTTTGTTTATTTTTTATATCACGACTATGGAGAGAGTTGAATATACAGAGAGAAAGAAAGAGATACAGTGACCTGTAAATTTTCATGTATATATTACGTGGATATTTAATCGTGAATAGACAAAATTATCTCGAAAGTGATAATAAAAGTTAATTACAAAATAGTCATAATTCATTAGGTTAAATCAATCTGACTCTTTGATTTGATGATTTGATGATTTTATTATACGAAACTTTTATTAAGATGAATGTTGATTTTGAGGATTCCCTTTTTCTTTCTTTTCAACAATAATAATGTAATAATAATAGCATAATTTTACAAAACGATTGTGCATATATGGGATTTCTTATAGAACAAGTTCGAAACGTTAGCCAAAAGATATATTTTTAAAATTTCAAGAAATGAATGCATGTTCCCATATGTAAGCTATTTTTATTCAGTAATTTCTAGACTGACAGGAATAGATGTAAGATGATTTTTTTCTAACTTCAGTAACTGAAAGTTATACTCGTTTTCCTGTTAGTAAAGTTTAATTACTCGATGGAGGCTGCCGACGATCGTATAAAATCTTACGAGTAATAAAAGTCGACGGGGGTTTCGAAAAGTGATTAGGCAATCGGTAGTTGGGCTATGGTACTCTGGTAGGACATGAACTTCGTCGAGGGTGGTCCTTTGATCATTCTGACATTTCTCGGTCGGGTACTTTTCTATATGTACAAGAGCACCTTTTAAAACAACTCTACATGTCGAAGTGCACGATATTATATGAGTAATTTCAAATTTTCTAATACTACGTCGGTTGTAATCTTTTTCTATCATCTAACGAACATTTTATTTTTTTTTCTTTTTTTTTATGTATATAACTTGTATAAAATTCACAAGTAAGCGACTTTATTTACAAAATTTATACCAATTCATACCAGTGGTTTTGTTGCATATTTGTAAAATAGTTTACAAATTATCGTATATTAATTATACAGTATGTTAGAACAAGAATGGAAAGCATGTGTGTTTATCGAAATTATTATTCTGGTTTCCATTTTGAAAAATGAAATTCGTAAAATAGTAAATAATATTCTAATAATTCTCGAAACTTATTATTACAATGTTTATGTTAGACTTCACGCTTCGAGCTTCTAACTTAACTTTCTCGCTCTTATTATATTATACCAGAGAATGTACATATTCCTTATTTAGTCGATTGATTGGTACAAAATCATGAAGCACTTTCTTGACTCTATCCTATTAATTAATAATCCAAATTAAAAATAATAAAATACAATTATTACAAAGAAACGATATTTTTCATAAATATAATTACGATCTTCTATTCTTAATCTAAACATGCATCAAATTATTCTCGTTACGTTTTTATTAATATTTAGAACATTTTATACAGGGTATCAAACACGAACGCCTACATATTATGAAAGAAACGAAAAGTACACATAAATGGCTCCTTTTTTTTAAATATTATTTCTTAACGTTTCGTGACTTATCAAATACATTTCAATAGGGTCCATTTACATTTGATCGCTACTTGCCGTTTGTGTCCGTTATTTCTGATATGCGTTGTCGATTCTATCGGATCGTTAGGTCAAAGCTATCTGCTTGGATCTCCGATGGAAGTAAAGACGCATAGAAGGGAGATACTAGGATGAGTGGATTGGAGTAAACACACGGATATCGTTATAGCTAGATGCATGCAGTATAATACCTACGCGTTTCTATGATGCTACGGCATTCCTGACTCGGTCACAGGTGTACATATATACATAGATACACTTCGTTTTAATGCATATACGGACACATCGCTGTGGGAATCGCTCGGCTGTTCTTTCTTATATCGCGAACCACCTTGCATTGGTTACCAACGAACAGGTAACTTGGCCTCCTTAGCTTTGCAAGTCATAATATCTGATGGAAAAGAAGAGAAACGAAGTTAGAAGACAGTAGGGGGTAGATGAAAAAAGCCAATAGATTTTTGTCTAACCTTTGTAACGGGAATGTGAATTTCTTCAAACTGAAAGATCGTAAATGCATAACCTTATTTATAGATTCCTTCGTTATTTTATTATATCGAATATTCTGTCAAATGTTTTTTGTTTTTATTTGTCTTCGTAGATAAATTTATAATTCTATTAATCTTTTTTAAGATTGGTAGTAATCAATAATAAGTGATTATATTTATTACTTCTGCAATCATGTAAAAATGAATACTCATAGTTTATAATTATTTAGAAATTTTACGAGACATAAATATCTTTTTATATAGAGATAAGAATCTTTTTATATAGACATCTCTTTAAATGATTCATCATAAATACTTGAAATATCAATATTTTACTATGGACAATTTCATTCCTAAATTATTAATAATATCATTGATTTGTTATTTTATGAGATGAAAATGTAAAGAAGTAAGATATTAAAGAAAGCTAGAGATAGTGAGGGTCAATAGGAGCCGTCTTTTCGAACATCTTTTTCGCCTGTGTTCGGCGGCGTTCGATTAAATTCGGTAACGTTCGGTGGTGCTCGGTGGGGTTCGGTGTCTCTCTTAACTTGTGCTCACGGACGTTCAGCTCAGTCGTCGACGCGCGTTTCTTTCGTAAACATTGAGTGTCATGCTTCTCGTGTGTTCCTTGTCTTCGCTTCTACGAGCTTGAATCAAGAGGGAGGATCGTACATCAGTGAGATATCGCTTGTCTCTTATCTACATTATCACAAAAAGGATGTTCGGAACTGCGAGGTTAGAGAAAAATTATATATATATTTTTTTATTTTATAATTTATTTTCAAAGACATTTGTATAATGTGTTTTTAATTTATTATATTATTAATAAGAAATTAATGAAAATATTGCAGAACAGTTGAAATTCATTCGTTTAATATTAATGTATAATAAATTTCCGAGAAATTTCGAAGAAGGAGAAGAATCGTATTCGTCTTTCAACGTTTCTAAGAGCTCACGTTTGATGAGTCACAACCATCGTGTGTAAACAACGAATTCCCATCGTTTTTAATTTTTCTTTTTACCTTTGTCCCAATACGTTATAATAAATGTATATAAATATATATAAAAATGTTAAGGTATGAAGGAACAAATGACCAGCATCGATGTGACTTATTCCGTATTAAGAAAAGAAAAAAAACAATTGTAATATTATATGTAGATTTTGATTATCAATGATTTTTTTAATTTTATCACTTGATAACTTAATAAACATTTTCGAATTAGCATAAGAATCGTAGGATCGTTTGTAACATTTCTAACGCATTGCAATTACGTTGGAGTTGCGTGTAATGCGAATAAATTGCACTGAACGCTCGAGTAGCATTTCCCTCTGTGCTTTCAATGATTTTCGCTGGAGAACGTTCTCGTCCGTTCAGCGGTATTATGCCGTTTCGAATGGCTATGCGTTTTAACCAATTTGACATAAATGGCTGCACCTCTATGAACCATGTATTTACCGCATAATTTTACGATGTTATATATACTCTTTGAGAAATCAACGACGTATATTACAGTTCATTTGTTTAGTTTAATAAACAGCCTTAAAAGAGGAGTCATTGGTCTACAAATAAATAAATTCTTTTTTTGTAAATACTTGAGTTAAGAAAGTAAACTATGTTAAAACGTATCTTATTAATTAAAATTGTCAACAATTTATAAATCGTTTCGATTAACTTTTGAATTATTCTTTAAATCGAGCCAATGTGTTACACGTATTAGTTCTGATTAAAATTTTTAATAACAAAATATCTCAAACATTATACTTTATCGTACGTTCTCGCGGTTTCATTGTTCCCTACATCAAATATCGAAAGTCGATAATCGTCCTCCACTACGTTCATCGCTAGTCTCTTTCGTATGCGAGTCCATGTAGAATCCTTCGACGATACTCGTGCTTCGCAATTAAAACGTTACAGGTCATTAATTTAACGATCGTTATGACAAACGTAATGATGATTGTATATTATTAATCTATATAATATAGATGTTTTCTTAAGAACGATCGTTAATTACGTGAATACCCGCAAGGATCTGCCAGTTTAATAGAACATTTCTAAGACAACTCAGATGATACTGAGATGCAAGGTATTTAAATATCTCATACAAACGATCTATAGAGTAGCTCATACTAAACAGAAAATTAAAGGGAAATTTGTAAAATAAAACTACAAAATTAGATCGATAAATTTTAATATTTTATAAATAATGGATTTTAATTTAATTTAATTTAATTTAAATTCTAGTAAATCCTAAATTTTTTATTAATTATTATATTTAAAATCTTTGTACGAGAGGATAATATTGGTTTATTGTAAGAAGATACAAGATTCTTGATTAAATTACGTGTTCCTTATATATCAAACACAATTAGTATTATCAATTAACAATAATAACTAGAATGTAAAGAGTAAAAAGTACATCTGCTCGATGGGATCACTCGAGTTTATCCTTCTTTAAAATTTTGGATCTTTTTTTATTTTTCCAGGTAATTTCTCTCTATCTGTTCCTTATAAGCTAAGTTCGAGAAAGCTAATGCAAATATTTACGAACAGAGCCTTCTCGATTGAATTTGTTGTACTGCGCGGCGAACGGCGCCGTAGTCTCTATCCCAGCACGGTCAATATTGACTCTGGCTCGAGCCAAAGCCCATCGTAATAAATTATTGACTTCATAGCAGCGATACGAGAGAGAGAGAGAGAGAGAGAAAATTTGAAAATTCTGCAGTGATCTGCATTAACCGTTAGGCTTCCTCGCCTTGCTTGAGCTACAAGAAGATAGTATTTGCTATGAGATATACACGGGGAACCATATGATACATAAATCACTCATGATTTATATATAATATATGTATTTATGTATATATAAATAACGCATATGCATATGTATTAAATTTTTCTTCAACTATCACGTATGAAAGAGACGAGATATAAATATCGACGAATGACATACTTCGATAAATTATCTTGAATAATATTAACGTGTAAACGAACGTATTGGACAACATCTGATCTCTTTCTTATTACGTTCCTTATCTGGTAGTTCCATACGAGCAATGTTTATTTTATCTTGTTTGAATTTCTCATGAAATCTAATAGGTCGTGTTGTTTAATTTTTGAAAGATATACATGCATAGATTGAATGTTATATTATCGTATCTTGTCATGTTAAATAGAAATGTAAATAGTATTATCTATCATATAAGAGAGTATAGATAAAGATGGGTATTTAATTTTACCACATAGAAAAAAGGAATCGGGTAATTGCTTTTAAATTCGTTTAAAATCGCCCATGATCGATAGCTCGTATCATTTGGTATCGTCCTGAAAAAGGAACAGGACGATCCAGAGTTTATTCTTAGTCGAACTACTCACGTTGTATTTTTATGGAGATTTGCTCACGGCAAATTGGTCGTTATCGAATATTCATAACTTATATTTTTTATTTTTATCAAAATTCCTCTTATAAGTCTGTTACATTTTATTTTCTTCTTTGAAAGATTGTATTTTGTAAATTACATTTGTTTGAATTCCATATTTTTCAGATAGTTTTTTATATAATTTTTTAGAGAAGCGAATTAAGAGGAAATTAAATCTATTTGATATATGAAGATTATTCAAGAAAATTCCTTCTAATTATTTTGGCTGCGATATTATATTAAACGATGTCTAAATGAATTTGTAATTTCATATTTGCAGCGAAAACGAAATATAGTCGGTAGTTATATTAAAATCGAAATGAAACCGAATCCCTTTTCTAAGTAAAAGTTCAAAGAGATACCGAAACATTCGAGTTAATTAAACTTTATGGACTAAAAATTCAAGTGAAAGGTATATCAAAGCATATTTCACGATCCTGACGTTTTATACGCAAAATAAATTTATATTATAGTGGATTAAATCAGAAAAAAATTATTTATTATTGAAAAAATACCGAAAAGAAGTCGCATGAGAAGTGTAAATCGATGTATGTAACCGAGTAAACGTCAAAATCAGCTGTTCATGTGACACAGAAGCTATATTGGACGAAAGTTGTCGTTCCAAGATCGAATATGTATTAATCGAATATATATATCTCGAATATATATATATATATATATATATATATATATATGTATATATATTGTGTACATAGATAACTACATAGATAGTTACACGCATATATTTTGAAAGTGAATCGAAAAAGAGAAAGAAGAAATGGAAGCGGAAAAATGTCGATGAGGAAGAAGAAGCAACGCAGAAAGAAAAAATAACTCAATGACTAAAGCAAGGTGTATTCCGGTATACTGATGATAAATTTACCAGAGTATATCGTAATTTAGCATCATGGCTTCTCAAAGGGAGATGCTGTGTTCGGTGTTTTCCGTCGGTCCCTTCGATACTCGATATTTCGCTCGTCGAAGGGGTCACCCACGCACGAGCGCGCATTCACACGTATGTACTTTCGCCAAGTTCTTTTTTTTCTTATTTTTTTTCTTCTACTCTGCGTTCTACCGATCTTCATCTAGAAAAGGCTGAAAAAAAATATCCAGGAAGAAGGAACAATCGCGTCGTTATATAGGGTGATTAAGCTACAGTACATATTTTTTTGCTTTCTTACTGTTATCGGTATTTTAATCGCGAAACTCTCGAGCGTTATCGAGTGTAAAAATGTATGTATAGCGAAGAAACATAAATAGCTTTAAAAGGTCCGATAACGAGTATTCGATTCTTAGAAAATTCATCTAGAAAAAAGAAAACAAAAAATATTAACATTCGAATTTATATTCCGCGAAAGAAAGAATAAACTTTATTATTTTACTTTTTGCCTCGATCACAAAAAAGAAAGTTGTCATAATGTTGGTAATTTGACGGTCATGTCGATTGTGACCCTCACTCGTTAAAATAGGTAGGGTTGAAAAGAGTTTGCAACGAAGTAACATAGATCCGTGAGTTGAGAAAGGGTAGGTTGCTGAATAAGAGTAAAAGAAGTAGACGGTTAGGGGTCAAACGGGAAATCGCGGCGCGAGAGTGCGTGTCGAGTGCACGTAATCGTTCCTCTTTTCCTTTCAATATATGCCGAGAATATGGCTTGGCCCTCTGTGATTTCGTGGCTTTGCTATAGCCGTTCTTTTATTATTTATTATTAGCCTTTATATAGCCTCTGCTCGAGTGCTTCTCTCGTGTCGAGATTCTGCTGCTCCTTTCGTTACACGAATACCTTAGTACGTATCTTACATCGGTTCTCTTTAAATTGCAGTAGCGTTCAACTATAATTACGACGATGCATTGCAGAATGATCCTCGTTATTCTTTGAATATTTTTAAAAGAAATTGTGTTTATAAAATAAAACGAATTATTGAACTTTTAAGGAAATATATTTTTATTTAGAAAAATTCATATTTTTTCTTTTATTTTTCTCACGTCCAATTATTAAAATAACGAAATATTCCAACACGTTTAAATGATTATTTTAAAGTACTGACACGTTTCTTTGATATATTTTTATATTTATCTGCAGATTCAAGGATTACTCCCCTTTGAACTGTAAGATTCTTCTTTAAAATATGTCCTTATGAGACGGACGACCGTCGTTATAGTATGCATACTTACACTATAGGCGTAGACCGTTCCATTTTGAAAATACATAGTGTGAAAAGGTGGAGCGGATGGATGGTTGGCTAGACGCGTGTCAAGTGTTCGTAACGAGACAGAGCGAGCTTTATTGCCTCCGTTGCAACTTGGTTCCCCCTCTTCTTT